CAGTCAAAGGCACTGATGGAGCACATGATGATGGAGTTCATTTTAGGACTGCACTTCAACAAAGACATGGACAAACTTGACTAGCCTAGAAGACAGCAGGGGGAATGACCAGGGGTTTATGGAACATGACATACGTGGAAATGTAAACAGAAGTTGTTTAGCTGTTCTGCAATAACTGTGCTTATGCAGCATCCTCATTTCATTTGGAAAATAAGACCTTTTTTTCCCCAGTTCTGTTGATGTAATATATACATATTTCAACATCACAGTCTAAAGTATACATCATAACTGGATGGGTTTGATTCTGTCCACATGCAAAGACCTGGAAACCCTCCCTTATAGTAAAGTGTTGTGAATGAGATTTTTTTTTTCTTCTCTCAACTTCTAGTAGTGGTTAATCACAAACCTAAGTACACCACCAAGGCTGGCCACATCACTTAAGTTAAACACATTAATGATATTTCATAACACAGTGTAATAATATGTGATCTTATGCATCTTATTTACTATCATGCAGTTTTCTTGTACAACTGCTAAATTTCTAATCTCCTCAGAATTGTCTGCAACAAGCAAAGTTGAGTCAGCTTGAGAATTTCCAATAACATAAAATGTATAAATTATTTACAAAAAGGGAGATAAATACATGATGGTAAAACTTATATTCACTACTCACTAATCATTCCCCTTATGAAAGTTGGTAGTTCACATTACAGCTTTCTGAAGATTGTCTTAAAGAAAATAAAGCCAAGGTTGTGTGTTTTCTGTGAAATATCTGTGTTTGACTGATCAACTGATCTATAGGTCTGGCTGTCTTTGCATTGTATTGCTTAGCTTGCAGAAGTTTGCTGAACAGTTCTGCTTGTAGTATTTTATATAACTACAGCTATTCAAATGTTCCTAAGAGTAACTGTCATTTGAAGGTGCAGAGGGTCTTATGGTTCTTCTTTTAGTGTTATTAAACTCAGTTTTACATTTCTAGGAAGATGCACTTGCACATACTCATAGGCCACAAGAGGAGATATTTACTGAGCTGCCCAGGGACATGTGAGAGTAAGGTCGAGGCAGACAGTAATTCCCTACTGCAAGAATTTAATGCATGTAACTATTTTAAGTAAATGTCACATGCTCGGGTTCACGATGAAGATCAATTTGCAGTAACTTTCTCCTGTTTCTTCAGCCTGACTTCCAACTTATGCAGAACAGTTGCGATACTGCATTTCCTCTGTTATTAAACAGAACTGAGCTCAGGGGTGGTGAGCCTGAGGAACACTTCTAAGTAGTAGTTCTGAGGTATGCTACTTCCTGCAGAAGAGGGAGTGCTGTGTTGTGTGGGGAATTATGCTATGATGAAGCACTGTAAAGTGCTCTTACCCCCTCCCCTGCCAAATTTTGTATGCTGTCCCAGGTTCTTTAATTAGTGTCTGGCTGTTGAAGCCCTGAATCCTGACATATGTATACTTTTGCCTCCTGAACAGTATCTCTATTGCACAGCTTCCACAGGATATGGACAAGGTAGTAGCTTAGTGGTTTACCAGTCTTATTTCGCCTGCCCAAGTTCCTATCCCTTTCCCCCACATACACCTGTATATAGACTTAATGGAGATCCCTGTACAGATTGGAAACAGATTGGATTTAAGAGCCCAGAAGCTTTGCAGATCTGGAATCATACCTAAGTTACAGACCCATGAGGTCCTGCTTTACGTAACAAGATTCAGGTCCAATTTCATGGCCAGCTTAAGCTATCACTAGCTGGCACCGTGGCTGGAAGAAATATCCAGCCACTTTGCCTGTCCTTGGTTGACCCCATCTATTGTGCCAGTAGAAGTTTCTGGCGCTGGTTCACTCAAAGAAGCCATACTTCTGATTACACCCTCCTGATGATTCTTCCAAAAAGAGCTTCTTATTTGTGTTCTTTTTTTCCCCACACCCAATGCTTTAAAGAATTACACAATAAGCTGATATTATGCAAAAAGCCACAAACCTGGTCTAAACTCCCAGTCCTTCAATTCACCCCAGGTCTGTGCTTAACTTCGTATGCCACGGACAGTTTATTGACATTGCTGTGCCTATTACAGATAAGGGCAAAAATTCTTAAAGAGAGGAAATACTTAACAACAGCAGCTGTTTCAGCTCCAAACAATATGAGCAAGAAATATGAAACAAAATCTCTTACAGTCCCATATTTGCTTCTGATGCCAAAAAGTAGCAAGGTAGAAAGGATCCTTCTTCTCACTGAAAAGCCAGTGAGTTACAAAAACACACTTTGGATGATAAACTTTTTGTTATCATTAACTACTTTGTGTTTTGCAGCATAGTAGGTATGTGTGTAACCTGAACACAAAAGAGCCTCGCTTTGTCTGTCACTGCTGGTACAGACAGGCTGATGGACATAAATGAAAGAGGGGACAGTGCAGTCACCTGTGCTCCTACGGTAGTGTGGGGTCCCTCGGGGGAGTCTGAGGGCCCTTTTGTAGGTTTTATCTCAAGAGGAAGGAGGCTTCAGGCCCACAGGAGGCCTGTGTCACCACTGGCACAGCACCCCAGGGCTGGCAGGGTGAGGGTGCTTGGGTAAGGACTTCACCAGCCCTGCAGAGAAGCAAAAGACACAGACTTCCTCGAGCAGCAATCCTCCCCCAGCCCGCGAGAAGCTGAGGCTGGTGTCTACATGGTTTACTGCTGATTGTGTTCTTCCTTAGCAGTTAAATCCATACAGCCTGTATTGTTCTGGAAGTGGGAGAAGATACAAACAGAGCAGCTGGATTTCAAAACTGGCTAGTGAGTATGCACTGAGGTTTCAACCTCTTTTGGATTTACCAAAATCATATGAAGGTCTAAAAAATCTAAGCCTTTTCACAGCAGGTTTACAGTCAAATGCTTTAATTGTTGCTATGCCAGAAACACCCAGTTCACTGGTGCTAAATGAAATATAAAAAATTACCTTGATTTTATATTGTACGTCCTGATTAATCCACTTAAGTGTGAAACAAAAAATCTGCTCTTAATTCCTATCTGCATCATTTTCAGATCATGTAACTAGCAACTTAATCATCACCCATGCTTGTAAAGGTATGATTGTGAGAGATTTTGAGATATTTCAAAGGCAAATATTATTCAGAACTCATTTATAAATAGGAATACAATGGCCATAGCTTTGCTTTACTCAGCATATCTTTGGCTGCCAAAGGAACATACTGAACTAGCTGCCCTACTCAGTCATCTATGGGAATAGAGCTGAATGTGTTGGGTAAAAAATAGCTTGCTTTTAAACAGGGATATGCTTGTCTCATCTAAGATTGACTCTGTCTCTCTGTCCACTTAAAAGAGTCCTTAAAACTCTTAAGTGTTTTTTAAATAACATAAGCCTCATAATCAGAGTTTAAACTTAGCCTTTTTTTCATGGTGGTGGTATTACAAAAATAGCACTTAGAAAAAAAAAAGTCTTTGTGGTCATACAGTACAGGTCCTTCTGGTGTATCAGAAATGTCTTGCATCTCTGGCCATGTTAATTTGGGCCATTTTTCCTGTCAAAGTTAGTAATTGCAAATCTCTCTTCCAACAGCAGGTATTAAGCAAGGTGTAAGAACTGTAATTTTGAGTCTAACGAGAAAAAAAGGCAAGAAACCTTCAAAGTGCCCTCAGACATCTGCGTTCTTGTACTTCTCAATACTTGATCCTCCAGTTATTCGAAACACTAAAAGACATCAAACTTTCCCAGAGGTATTTCCTGACCCAGAGGAGCAAGCTAGAACAGAGGCAGAACACACTCCCATGGCAAAACATGGAACCCAGCAAATAAGAGCAGCTGATGGAAGTAGCAAAACCCCCAGATGAAGCTAGTAATAAGGACTGGAGCCGGGGGCTGGTGGTGCGGGCAGGCTGGGATTGGGGCTTTTTTTGTATTTCTGGCTTTGCTGTTCATGTTTTACCTGCATCGGAGAACATGTTTTTTACATGTGTCTGTTTTTTATCAACTTCAATACGAAGAACATGCTATAGGACAGCCTACCAGCAAAGCACCATACCCAGACATGATTAAAGAGCTGCTCCAATTAGTTTCAGTTACCCAAATTAGTGGTATTCTTATTTAATAGTGATTTTGCTAATGGCAAGGACACTGAGATAATTATGAGGAGGACTTTTCTGAAGATGATGTATATGTGGACTAGCTTTAACTGAACTGCTTTAATTAACTACTTTAACTAGAATACAATTTAAGTCACATCAGATGTGAAATTCTAGTTGCATTTAATCGGTGGGAAAGGATTTGTCATGTAGTTGGGAGACATTGTTGACATTGTACGTTTACTTTCCACTGTGATAACAGCCCAGGTACACGTTCAAGTTAAGGATTTGTAAATATTATGAAGCGTAAGTATTATGTCTCAGTTCAGGAGTCGAATAACATACCAGGAACTGAATTTTAGCAAGGTACTACTTTATGGAAATAGATTTTGCAGACTTACTTTTAAATAACTTCTGTGTAACACGGTTTTACATGTAACACGAGATCTATCACGAGACAAATTATGTTTAAGCAATAGTTCAATTGCAGGATAGTTGTAAAATGTGCTTTTGTTGAAGGAGGCTGTATTTGCAAGGTGAATTATGAGAAACTACGAGTAATGAGTTTTTTGTCTCAATGTGTAGTAAAGCCATGCTCTGTGACTGTAGCCAGGCCTACGGAGGTACCAGTAAGTTTTAATGACGTTGATTACTCTAAACTTTAGCCGGCGTCGAGCAGAGGCAGGTTAAGCACCGGATTGCTGCGCAGCTGTTTGAGCAGCGCTCTGCTGAGGGAAGGGGCGGCGACGCGCGGGATAAGCGGGTGCCTCGCCCGGGGGGAAAGCGCTCTGCCAAGGGGCCCCTCCAGGGCGCGCACACCGCGGAGGGCTCTTGACGACGACGGTGGTGACGGTGACGACGGTGGTGATGGCGGCTGCTCCC